ATTTGAGACTTTGAGATAAGTCTTCTATTTCTGGAGATTTGAAGATTTTTCTCTTTTTGCATTTTTTTCTCCACTCTTCTATCACTAGAAGTATGAGCAGTATTCTTCTCAGTTTTCTCAGAATTTTAAGCAGGTTTTGAGATAGCAGATTTAGAGATAGCAGATTTAGAGACAGCAGATTCAGCTGCTTGAGTATATGTTTTCTTCTGATTTAAAGAAGAAGAAGAAGAAGAAGTAGAAAAGAAAGAAGAGTAAACTGAAGAGTCAGTGATTGTATTAGGAATTTTCAAAGTTTTTTGAACTGTGTTTGAAATTCCAAGTTTGAACTTGATCACTTTCTGTAGTTGTCTAGCCTGAGCATGAAGAATTAACAGAACTTCTTTATTCATCTCACTCAGACACTGCTTTTCAAGAATTTTACTTGCTTTTTCAAGTTTCTGTATTTTAAGAACTTGTTGTTTCTCTATTTCTTCTTTCTTTCTTCTCTTCAGAATTTCAATCTCAGGAATAGCATTTGAGAAAGCATCTTTTTCCACATCAACTGAGTGTACTTTTGAACTCATTGTTCTTACTCAATGAAAAGTTGGTCAGACTAATTCAATTGAGATATTTATTAAACTCTTTTGAATTGAAAAGTTGATCAGACTGTTTCAATTAAGAGGTTTCTAAGTCTGTTTTCAATTGAAAAGTTGGTCAGACTATTTCAAAAGAAGAATAGCAGACTTTTATATATAAAACACCTGATTTTTTTCACTCTAGTTCAGTAACTAGATTAGATTTTTGAAGAGAATCTAATAAATTAAAATTGATTTTTAAGATAAATCAATAAAATCTTTACAATCTCTTTCTTAGAATACAGTGAGGAAAAGTATGATATCAATTGATAGTAAATCAGATAATATGACAGTTTTTGAGAGAAAAACTGATAAAAAATAAATCAATTTTTTGCAGAGAAATTGATTAAAACTATTCAATTTTATTCTAAATCATTCAATTCTCCTCACACAACAAGTATGCAACTCAAATCAGTTAATAAAGAGTGTAAAAAAGAATTAAGTATTAATGAAAGCTCTTCAGTCACTGAAAAAGTAATTCTTACTTAAAAGAATATGAAATTATGACAGAAAACAACTCTGTTTTTAATTCTTTGTAAGAATATTGTGTAAAATCCAGAGAAAAACACCTTACTTTTTCAAGAGAAGTAAAAAACTATTTCTAAGATCTTTTTTTTTTTTGCATTAACTGCTGCAGAAGAATGAGATAGAAACTGCTAAGATATGCACTACTGTATACTCTCTATCAAGACTTTCCCTCTTCAGAGTCTTGATATTATAGAGAATATAAGTCTGTTTCTATATGATAATGTAAATATTGCCAGCAGGATGTAGAGGAACTGGTTATTTATATCTCAAAATAGAAGACTTTGTCAATGATTATATTAATATAGAGTTAATTCTCAAATTCAATAGAAATCTAGTGTTGCTGTTCTCAATCCCTTGCAGAATCTATTGAATATTGAGGTATTAAAACTAGATTTAATATATCTCACTGTGCAGGGATCAAAGGCTCAGTCAGACCTTGGGGTATACTGATTTTATAGTTGTTGATGTGCTGTTGACTCGTTGTCTGTTGATTATGTGCTTGATATTATCGCCGAGGTATCTTTTTGTATTTTTCTGCCGGGGATGGGCCAGATTGGGAAGGGCGGTACGAGGGTGGGACTTGGCGTTGGTGTTTTGGAACATCAAAGATGGACAGGGTTTTCGCGGAGGTCGCACCTCAGATATCTCCACAACTACAGATCGGGGATCTTCCAAAATCGAGAAGATTGGTGCATACGGCTAGGTCTCTTCACCTTACAATTTGTATGGCAATTTGGCCCGGGGTTGTGGTGTGGTAGGGGAGAATGGGGGATAATCCCACGCAGGAGTTCCGAACGACGTCTGGTTCACGTTTGGCTGGATAACTCCACCACCACACGGGGTATGCGGTCGGCGATGGGGTCAAAATGCTCGTATGATCGAGGGCTTTTCGATGGATCTATCGGCGGGTTCTTATTCGAAAAATCGAGCGAGTTCGTCGTGGAGCGGTTGCATGTTCTCAAAGTCTTGAATCAGAACATTTTACAGAGAAACAAGCTCAACTCAAATCTCATTTTCCACTTCACTATTACTTATAAGCTTACTGAATAACAGATGTGATGATCTGAGCTATTAAGCTGTTTTCATTTCATAATACACTACTGCCTCAGTAGTCAGAACTTGATGACAGATGCTCTCTCACAATGAGAGTAAGATATATCATTCAATATAACAGATACTTACTGAATGAACTGAGAGCACTGACTCTTAAATCTGAAAATACTAGTTAATCATGATGAGATTATTCATGACACTATATACACTATTCTGATTAGAACACTCTCTCTTCAAACTGACACTGACACTGACACTGATACTGATACTAATATCTTAACTTCTTCTGAATCTACACTAGATGAATTGTGACATACATAGTCAAGCTGCTTTAAAAAGACTTAGAAATAGTCAGATTCATGAGGCTCAAATGAATCTTGAACTGATTTTAAACTCTGTTTTGAAAATTCAAAAGAGAAGAATATTAAAACTAATAATTTATCTGCACTGTGCTCCTGCTTATATGAATATTCATGGCAATGAATTGACTGATTCAGCTGCAAAAAAGAGTTCAGAATTAAGCAGATCTATTCAAAAAATTGTATCCTGGTCTTTTATAAAGAGAAAGATAAAAGAATTCTGTTTAAATAAGTGAAATGAAAGCTGGTAGAAACAAAAGAAGAGTATACATTATTCAAGATTTGAAACAAAACCCAAGTGAAAATCTTGTTCAATTAAATGTAAAAAGAAAATATTCTCATCTATAATGCAGCTGAAACTAGAACATGACTATTTCAAATCTTATATACAAAGATTTAATGATAGATTTGATTTAATAGAATGCTCATTCTGCAATGTAAATGAGAATTCCGAGTATATTATAATGCACTGTGCATTATACAATAGTCTCAGAGTCAGATTGAAAGAGAAGTATAATCTAAATCAATCAAATATGAGGTTCTTATTCTCAACTGAGACAGGAATTAAATATTTAATAGACTTTCTATCAGAAACTCAAGCAGCTACAAGAAGATGACTAAATTCAGAAATATCTGAATATGAAGAGGAGGAAATTGATCAGATATAGTCTGTTAAAACAGCTATACACTATCTTTTAATAGTTTGTTTTGTCATAATCTCTCTTTACTTCACTTTTTTTCTTTCTATTCTTTTCTATCTATCTATTTAATGTGTCTATCTTTAAGACTGTGTTCTCTTTTCTTTTGTCATAATATTATTGAATGATTTCAAAATATCAGAAGGTGTTAAAATACTGCAATTTGTAAACAGTTTTTGTATTCTGAGCTGGAATTTTCTGATTTTACATATCTGAAATTAGTAAATGTATAATAGTTGACTTTATAGATATAGGAAAAACCCTGAGAACTTCTAGTTCTCAGGTAGATGTCATAGTCTCTGACTGCATACATCTATAATTGAAGAATAATAATAATAATAATAATTGTGATATATAACAGCTTAAACTGATGAACATCTTCAAGAACTTACTGAAGTAGTATGTTAAAAAGCAATCTGATTCTCATCAGAACTATGTATAAGAATTAACATCTCAGAATGCTTAAATGATGGCAATAACACTCTGTAATTCTGTGAATGATACTGAGTCTCTTATTCTGAACCTCTACACACTTCAATAATATAAGAGATGTATGATTTATATATAACTGATTATCTGAGTTGTGAACAACTGTATTAAATAATCTCTCAAGAATTCTACTGATCTGAGATATCAAACAGCATCAGACACTTTGTCTAAAACTGTAATTATTATTCTTCTATCATCTTGTGAAAGAATCAAACAAAAGACCTGCTGAAATTACTTAATATCTCTGATAGAATATAATGAGATATAGTAATTGACTTCACTGTTAATCTTTCTAAGAGTAAGAGTTATAAGAATATTCTGATTGTCATTGACTGATTGAGTAAAGATGTTATATTAGAATCTTATGATAAGATTGATACTGAATAAGTCACTGAAGCCTTTCTACAGAGTCTGTTCTACTGAATATATAAATTACTGAGATCTGTAGTATTGAATTGAGACTGTTAATTTATAAGCACTCTCTGAATAAGAATCTGTCAAGTTCTCAAGATTATACACTGTTTGTCAACTGCTTATCACTCTGAGATTAATAATATATCAGAATAAACAATTCAGACAGTGAAGAATTATCTTCATAAGTTCTGTAACTATTTATAAGATGACTGACATGATTTTCTTCTACACACTGAAGTTGTTATCAATGACTGAGATGCTGTTTCAACAGATATAAGCCTGTTCTTTTCTACATATAATTGTTATATAAAAGTGTTAGATCTTCTAGAAATCACACAGTTTACACTAAACTCTCACAGTCTGATTCAGATTGCTGATAATATAATAACAAAGCTCTGAGATATCTGTGACTGAGCAGAAATCTTCATGACAAGTATTAGATAAGATTAAGAGAACTGAATTAATATTCACTGAGACTCTGCTAAGTAATATAAGATAGAAGATCTGATATAATTGAATCTTAAGAATATACAGATTACATACTCATCTTGTACACTGAATTACTGTTATATTAAGTATAAAGTGATAGAAGTTCTAAGCAGTCACAACTACTGTCTTAACACATCATTTATAAGAATAAGTGCTCGCAGGCGATTATTCAGATGTTTGCAGCTTGGCGTGATATGTACTGTTAACTACTAGAAGTATTCATGGTAGAAAGATAAAATGTAGAGGTCAAATGTATAATAGTATTCAAGCTGAGTTGTGAATAGTAGTCATGAACTTCAGTCTATATAGTTATGTGTAGTCAAGAGCTGCTAATTCTATTAATTATATAAGAGATAGAAATAGAGGTAAAGAATCTGTGAGAAGTGAGATTTCTTACATACTTTTCCCTCTCTAAGACTTCATCTGTGAAGCCTTTCACTGAGTGATTTTATAGAATCAGGCTCAGCACTGTAGTGATACTCACTAAAAACTCTTCATATCTATAAAAAAAACCTCAGTGAGAAAAAATCCCTTGTTATTATAAAGAGAAAAGAGTCTGTCACTCAGTTTCTTATTTCATAAGATTCTTTATAATCTGCAGATCTTTCTCTGACTACTATACAGATTCATCTCACACCTTCTATATAGAAGAGTTCTGATTGACTCTCAATCATTTCTGTGAGATTCTTGTGTAATCGTCACATAGATTCATTTCACATCTTTCAATCTGAAGAGTTTCAGTTGATCTTTAATCATTTTTTCACAAGGTTCTTATGTGATCATCACATAGATTTATTCTGTAGATGAATCACTTTCTGTGAGATCACTCTCATTAAAGAGAAGTATTTATTAGTTGATCTTTCACTTATTCTCATAAATCATCATTCTTTGACACTGTAGAATTGTGAGGAATTTTTCATTCTTTTATCAACTCTGTAAAATTGTAGAATCAAGATGTCTGCAGTCTGCAATTATTCTTTATAGTTATATAGAAAGATTCAGATCTGCAATTTACAATCACTCATTATTTACTAGAGTAATCTGACTGTTTTATAGAATTATTCACAGTGTAAGTAAATCTCTCTAAAGTAGTATAAATATCTCAGATCTGTCTGCAGAATCTTATCTTCTTTTCTCTTTTTCTATAACAGCTTTCATTCTTATAAACTGTGAGTATTCTCATTCATCTGTGAAGTGTTTTCACTCAGATGACAGAGAGAGAGTGTTTCTAACAATATCTTCATATTGATTCAAGAACTTCTCAAGAATAAAAAAATTTTTAATTTCAATATCTTTATAAATAATGTTTGACTGCTGTTAAGCTTCTCATGAGTATTTCTGTAACTTCTCTGATCACTTTTTACTGACTGATGAAGCAGGAATATTATCACTCAGTGTCTTCACTTCTTTCAGCTCTGTCACTGCATCTGATCTTCAGGCCAGTAGTCAATCTCATGTCTTTCTCAGGCCAGTCTCTGACTCTAAGCAGCACAGTTCTGCTCTTTGCTGTAAGTCTCTCTGTAAGTAATTTCTTACAGATTCTAGCTGACAGTGCTTGTGAAGCTTCTGATGTTATCAGTGTCTTCTGCAGCTCTGCAGATCTACAATCACCTTCTCTCTATCTGCATAATCTCTGATCAGGCATATGCAAATATGTCTAGGTTTCCTATTAACAGTTCTCATGCCGCGGCGCATTTCTGCAATTTCATTGTCAATGAGAGATGAGTCTCTAAGTACCTGTAAAATCTGAGTAATTAAGGCAATGTGAATGTCATGAATTTATGACAGAAGTTAATCTAAGCAGATGAGTCTTCTCTTTATATCTCAATTGTTTCTGAGCTGAATACTTCAGCATAACTGAGGAAGTGAACACAGCTTTGTAAGAAGTATCTAGTTATATGTACAGATGATCAGCTCTCAAGATTCTGCTACAACTGTATATACTCTGATATTCAACTTCTCTGAAGTCTGTGTATTTCTGACAATCTTCATATTAAATGCAACAATTGTCTGTATCACAGATATGATACTCTCTGCTTCTTTGAAGAGAAGAATTGATAGTTATAGAGAAATTAAGTGTTATAGATATTAAGAATATAAGTGTGAGTTTTCTTTATTTTTTCTTTATTAGTCTCTAAATTATGTTCACAGCTCTGTTTTTATTTTCTTTGTTTTTTAACTTTAATAAGAATAGAATTTCTTCTTCTCTTTATGTACACTACAGACTCTTCATCTCAGTAGAAACTCATTATCTTGTAGACTAGAATTTGTAAATAACAGTGTTAATATCTTTATCACAATTAGGTTCTTAGTGAAGATTATGTCATTCTGACTTGTTAGAATTCACAGTATAAAAGTCATGTCTCAGCTTCTGCAGATGTCTTATCTGTTCAGATAATTCTTAAGTGAACTCATTCATCTTGTCAGAATACTTGTAAGAGGCCTACGCCGAATAGATCGGTATAATATATAGGTCTTATATAACAAAGTGAAAAACATTAGAGAAGGAAAGAAAGAGAAAGTACAGGAATCAGTGATTGAAGTAAGT